CGACTACGACTACGACTACGACTAAGACCACGACTACGACTACGACTACGACTGCGTCTACTACTACTACTACTACTACTACTACTACTACTACTACTACCACCACTACCACGACTACTACTACTACTACTACGACTACTACTACTACTACTACTACTACTACTACTACTACTACTACTACGACGACGACGACGACGACGACGACGACTACTACTACTCTACTACCACTACTACTCCTACTACTACTACTACTACTACTACTACTACTACTACTACTACCACTACTACTACTACTACTACTACTACTACTACTACTACTACTACTACTACTACTACTACTACTACTAGTAAATACTACTGACTGCTACTACTACTGTTACTACTACGACGAATTACTACTACTACTACTACTACTACTACTAACTACTACTACTACTACTACACTAACGACTACTCTTACTACTACTACTACTACTACTTACTACTACTACTACTACGACTCCGACGACTACTACTACTACGACTACGACTACTACTATTACGACCTACTACTACTACTACTACTACTACTACTCTACTACTACTACGACTACTACTACTACTATTACTACGTATTTACTACTACTCCTACTCACTCCTACTACTAACTACATACTACTACTACTACTACTCCTACTACTACTCCTCTACGACTACGACGACGACGACGACGACGACGACGACGACGACGACGACGACGACGACTACTACTACTACTACTACTACTACTTAGTACTTACTACTTCCTACTTCCTACTTACTACTTAGGACTGACTACTCACTCCTTACTACATACTACGACTTACAATTTACTACTGACTACTTTCTACGCACTAGTTCCTACTTACTGCTGGCTACTACTACTACTACTACTACTACGACTACTACTACTACTACTACCACCACTACCACTACCACTACTACTGCTACTACTACTACTACTACTACTACTACTACTACTACTTCTACTACTACTACTTCTACTACTACTACTACTACTACTACTACTACTACTACTACTACTACTAGTACTAGTACTACTACTACTAGTACTAGACTACTACTTCTACTACTACTACTACTACTACTACGACGACTACTACTTCTACTACTACTACTACTACTACTACTACTACTACTACTACTACTACTACTACTACTACTTACTACTACTACTACTACTACTACGACTACTACTACTACTACTACTACTACTACTACTACTACTACTACTACTACTACTACTACTACTACTACTACTACTACTACTACTACTACTACTACTACTACTACTACTACTACTACTACTACTACGACTACTACTACTACTACTACTACTACTACTACTACTACTACTACTACTACTACTACTACTACTACTACTACTACTACTACTACTACTACTACTACTACTACTACTACTACTACTACTACTACTAGTACTCATAATAATAATAATAATAATAACAATTGCGGCCGAGATGTTTGTCGCCATGCTGCCTTCTGAAAGCAAGCAGGGTGCTTCTTGGCATGGCCCCCCACTGTATCCTAGTCGCTGCTCCCGCGCTGGTGCCCTCGAAAGGCGGCGCACCACACTTCGCGCCTCCGCAGGCGATCCGACGACCCACCAGACCACCCCAACCCTACACGAAGACCAGAAATTCGGGTTGGAGTTGGGGGAGTACGGGCTTCATGTGTGTGTTTTCCAATGTTCCCCGACCCCTCCCACTGGAGATCGAGCGCAAATCGGGACATTCGGGTTGGGATGCGGTGGTGTGGTGGCGGTGGCGATCCGGTTTCTCACGACTGCGGGGCACCCGGGAGCGACTCCCCAGGCACTCTCCTGTCGACGGCCGCCGACGGCACAAGGGTTTGGTCGGGCGTGCCCTCCTACAGGAGGACATTCAACGAAAAATCAAACGCAGTCAAAACAGAGTCAAAAAATACTCACAAGTAATCGTTCTCAGACTATTGTTTGACTATCATTGAACATTCCTCCTGTAGAAGGACAGGCCTGACTCGACGGAAGGGCGCTGCCACCGACGCCGCACGGCCCTGCCGCCGACAGCCGGGGGGGGGCCCAGACATCCTTGTGCTTGCTGGTCTTCACCACGTCTGCCCACTTTGGGATCTCGAACCTTGCGGTTGGGACTGCTCTTGGCCGCTGCCGCGGATGCCGCGGATGCTGCCGTGCCTACCCCCCCTGTCCTTTCTCGCCTTCCTCCTTTTCGCCCTGCTAAATCCTGCCTATCCTCCCGCTGCTGCCCCTGCTACTGCTCCCCACGCCGTGCATTCTCCCCTTCATCCCGCGAAAGGGTCGGCTGGCATCACCGAGGCTTCGCAGACTGTGAGGAACCCACTCGCCGCGTCGGGCTGGCACTGTTTCCCGAAGATGGCTGATCTTATGAAGTCGGTACCATCCTGCTCCCCCTCCGGCCATCCTTCCCTCACATCCCTCTCTACTTTCTTTTCTCTGCGCCCTCCTTCATCCATCCCACCACATATCCCTCCCCTCAAGTCTCTCCCAGGCCCTTAACCTCCACTCCCCCGGGCCAACTTTTCGCCCGGAAACATGAGGCATGTCTCCAACGCCTTCCAGAGGAAGAAATTACACAAGAAACTCAATTGGTTGGAAAACAGAAATTGTGTCATAGAGGCATGGGGTCATCCCTGCTTCCTCCCTCCTCCCCCTCCTCGTCCTCCTCCTTGTCCTCCTCCTCCTCCTCCCCCTCCTCCTCCCCCTCATCCCTCCTCCTCCTCCTGTTCCTCCTCCTCCTCATCCTCCTCCTCCTCTTCCTGGGTCTCCTCATCCTTTTCGTCCGTCTCTTCTCCTCCGCCCTCCTTCTTCCCTCCCTGCCATCTCCCTCGCCCCATCATCCCACGGGAGCAACGAGGAGGAGAAGGAGGGCAGGAAGAAGAGAGGAGCGAGGGCAAGCTGGGCGCGCTCGCTCCATATCAGACATCATAACCCCTCCCACCCATCCCTTCCACTGCGCTGCGGGTTTCTGTGTCCGCCGACGCGCGTCATAGCGGACCCAGAATTTCCCCCAAAGAAGGACCCCATCGTGTTATGCGCGATCGAAAAAGAGAGAGCTGCGCACACTGGAGGATGAGCAGCAGGACGAGGCAGGAAGAGGAGCAGAAGGAGGAGGAGGAGGAGAAGTAGGACGAGGGAGGACGAGGACGAACAGCAGCAGCAGCAGCGCCTGAAGTCGAAGGAGCGTGACGAGGAGGAGGACTGGGAGAAGCAAGAGCTCGCCATCGCTCGGACGTCCATTTCCAGTGCATTTTTCGGTTTCGTGCGTGTTTTTTTGTTGCTCGATGGTCCAGGATGGTCCTCGATGGTCCTCGCCGAGAAAAAAATGCACACGTCCGAGCGATGCCAAGAGAGGGAAGAGGAGGGGGGGGGCGGCAGCGACGGGAGAGGACTCGGATCTGGAAAAAAAAGTGGGCCGCGCCAGGGCCGCCAGGGCGAGAGAGTGCCACTCCGAACCGCGGCACGGCCGCGGCGGCGAGAGCCCACCAGGCCCGCTCTCGGGCGCACGCATAGGTCTGGGCGACGCAAAGGGGGTCCAGCTGCCAGGGGGTGGTGCAATGAATTCGGGGCAATTGTATTGCAAACGTATTGCGCTGGAGAATTGTATTGCATTGTAGTGCAACTAATGTATTGCACGCAACAATCCAGCAATACACTTGTGCCCCGGAATGTACTGCACGCCCCAAATGTATTGCAACCCCACAAATCTATTGCACCAAATCTATTGCACCCCCCCCTTGTCGCTGGACCCCCTTTTGGGTCAACCCGAATAGGGCGGGCGGAAGAGGGCAGGGGGGTGCGCCAGGACGTGGCGGAGACCAGTCCTCATGGTGGAGCACTGGCAGACGGGTCCTCTAGAGCCATGTTGCCCCCAATCGTGCTCGAGGACGACATCCCAGAAATGATTGTCGAGCACCCAGGAAAGTATCGAAACAATGTCGAACGTGTATCGCCCCCCCCGGCCCGACACTTGAAAACCTTCAAGCTTCGGTACTTTCGTGGTGCTCGAAGTTCTTTCTGATGATCAAAGCTGAAGTAGGTCGGAGCATCATACTTCTAGAGGGGCCCAGGGCCACACGAATACACAGACACAGATCCCAGGATCTCATATCTATATTCATTATGTTCTGGATATTCGTCGCCCCCGCCACTTCCCAAGAGTTCCCAGAACCTTCCCGGGAATCGTCGATTCTTTGCGCCTGTCTGTTATTTTCCCTCCCGAGAGTCATACTCGCACTGCGTTATCGTGGAAGCGGGGGCACTGCTCCCTCCCTGGCGGCGCGCGCCTCCAGCGCCGCCAGGCATGGGGTCCCAGGCGCCGATTCGAGAAATCCGGGCGGAGCTCCCAAGAATCATGGTCAGGCTGGCTCTTGCGCCTCGACCCGCGCTTCTCCCGCCACGAAGACGAGGCCAGGAGGAGGGCCATGCCGCATGAGGATACACAGGGAACCTCGGCACTCCGGCGGCTCTGGCGGATGCCTCCTGCGCCGCGTCTCCTCGGCACGTTCCGGAAGGCTCCGAGAGCGTTCCGGAACGCTCTGGAACTGGGGAAACCAGGGGTGCCCGACACCACGACTCCCCTTACCTCTCCTTGGGGTGCGCTCTGACTAGGATTTTGGGGCGAATCCAGCGGTGACGACGACAGAGGCCCAGGAGACCCAAAGAGGGAAAAACGAGGAGAGGCTACAGGTATGGGGGTGCATTTCCTCTTCTGAGGAACGGATTTGCCCTCGCACTGGGCCCGTCCGAGCCATCCCCCTGCCATCCACGGGCCACCGCTGCCCGTCAGCCCCTCTGGCGGACCACGCCAAACCGCGGGCGCCGACGCGCCACAGGCCAGGGGACACCGCCGGCGCCGCGCGGCCCGCCGGCCCCGTTCTGGGCAGCCCCAGCTTCCCACCCTCACGGAGGGGCGACGAGAAAGGGGGGACTGGCTCAGGGGGGAAACATCGACCTGGAATCGGCGCGATACATCGCCGACGGATCGGCGATAGGCCCCCGATAGCGATTCAGCACGTTCCTGCTCAGGCTGGGGCTGTCGGGCCCCTGTCGGCGATCAATGGGCGATTGGGGGTCGATGCATCCCCCCCCATGCCTCTCCACCCTGTCGTTGCCCAACCCTTATTCGTCACTCGGGCTGGAAGGGGGGACACTGGACACTGGATACTGGACACCGGACAGCTTTAGCAGCACCAACACCTTGGAGGCGGCCGGGGGCTCTGAACTGGCTAGGGACTAGGACCCCAGATACTCGGTTGGAGGGGGGGTGAAGCCAAATCCCCTCAAAATCATCCCGCGGACCCCTCCCACGGCCCCGGCCGAAAGAGAAAATTACCCTGCGGCAGCCTTTTCTAAACATGTGGCGGCCATACCCAGGAACACTCAATAGACACAAACATGTTGAAGGACACGCTGTGCGCACGAGCACCCAAAAGTAATGTCAGGAGAGCGCGGCGCGAGGTCTCGGCTGGGTATGCGTACAGCTGCACTCCGCGGGACCTCCAAGGAGCCCACGACAATGGCGACTGTTGCGGACGTCGCGGCCGCCCCAGGCAGCCGCGAGGCCTCGGCCAGGTCTGCATTCAACTCGTTTCCGACGGACACCCCAGAGGCCCGCGACAGTGGCGACAGTTGGACACTTCGAAACCCCCTCCATGGAGACGCGAGGGAGATGAAGAGGAGAAGAAAGGAGGTGGAGGAGGAGGAGGAGGAAAAAAGAGAGAGAGAGAGAGGAGGAGGGGTAGAACAAGGAACACGAGAAGGAGAACGAGGAGGAGGGGCAGGACGACGACGACGACGACGACGACGACGAGGAGGATCAGGCAGGAGGAGGAGAAGAATGCGGAAGGAGGATTGGAGATCACAGTGCTCTAGCCAAAGCGAGAATTCAACACGCAAGAAGGTTGGGAACAAAACCTTCCCGAACACCGCACCTCGAACCTGCTCTCCCTCCCGCTCGCCAAAAACGATGCTGAACCACTTCAGAACCCCAGCTGGCTCCAACGTACGATGGCGCGCTGTCATCACACGAAGGGGGAACTGCGGTCTCCAGCTGCATGGGCAGCTCGGGGGTGGCAGCCCCGAAACACGGCGGGCGACTCAGGCGCCAGCCAAGCCTGGCATGAAGGAACCGGGTCCTGGACCTCGGGGACCTCCCCCGGATAGACCTCTTCAGCGTGAGTCGTTGTGTTGTGTTGGGACTTCTTGGCCTCGACACGTTGGGCGCCCGAGTTATCCGGGGTAACTCGGGTCCAGGGTAACTCGGGCTTGGATTCCAGAAAAGGGGCCCGAGTTAGCCCTGACCCGAGCTGCCCCTGATGATGTGGGGCTCTGGACGCCCGAATTATCCGGGGTAGCTCGGGTCCAGGGTAACTCGGGTTCGGATTCCCGAAAAACGAACCCGAGTTAACCCTGACCCGAGTTACCCCTGATGATTCGGGGCTCTGAACACGCCTCACCACATAAGCCAGAGGCGACTCCACACAACATCTGTGGGAAATGCTGCGAACCGTATGCACCGTGCAGCAGGCGCAAAAGGGGCGACCTCGCCTCGGCGAGAGACGCTTTGGGGCGGGGGCTTCGCGAGTTCCTTTCGGAGCGCCCAGTATGGCCCCCACTCCTCACGGATCGACCCTCGGCTCGGCCGCCGACAACAGGGCATCAGTCAGCTGCACAAGACATCCACCACTGCTGCACTGAAAAAAGCAAGGGCGCGGCAGGGCGCGAGCGCGAGACCAGCCCCAGAGACCCAAACCCGAGTGGCCCCTCACCGGCCCACTCAGCCCAAGGGGGCCGAGCTACACCAGGACGGGGGCCGATTGGAACGGGGACCTCAAGGATGCACCTGCCAGGGAGATCAGAGCCTGACCTCCCCCGCGTCCCGAAGTCCAGCGGCCAGCTCGACAGCCCCCCTGCGCAGCTGTCACCGCAGGGGGAGCAGTACCTCCAGCGCCCCATGGCCGCGCAAGCAAGGGGAGGCGGACTCACGCGCAGCAGTGAAAAAGGACGGCCCCAAGGACCCCAGATCGAACCCGCCACACAGGTCCAGAAAGGAGCAGTTCCGAGGCTGCCCGACCCGAAGTGCTGACGCGGGCAGCGATAGTCAGGCGGCTGCGCTCTACACGGGAGCGCCGCCTGAAGGAAAAAAGAAACTCAAAACAGCTCGAGTGCATGAGCAATATCGACCGTCGCGTGGCGGTGCTTCTCATGAGGATGAAAACCACGGCACAGAAATCGCCAACCAAGGCTTTGAACCCTGCCGCCCGTGCAATGTTCCTTACAACGTAAACATGTGAACATCACCGAGCCATCTGAGAAGTGGACGCTACGATGCGATGCTATAAACGCTGGAGAACATTGTCATCGAGTTTTGGCCTATCCGAGCAACTGCCTGGAGGGGGTTATTGCGGGGACCTTTTGCCGCGCAAGCGCTTGGAGCACCTCCAAATGCCAAACCACCTCTTCCAGGCGCGTGAAATCCTAGGCTGGCGGAAAGCAGAGGGAATCGGAAAATATGGGACTTCTAAAGAAAACTTGGGCCATGGGGACAGCAAGCTAGCAACTAGACCACAGTCAGCAGGAGCACCAGCAAGTATTGCATATACTTCAAAATTACTGGCAGGTTCAGTGGGATGAAACTGGAGACCGTATTTGGCCCCAACATCAGCATCTCTACCTCCTACACGAAGAAACCTCTCACGAGTAGAGAGCCCTTCCTGGTCTATATCAAGGCGGGCCTTGACCTTCACAATGGCTTCAACCCTGTCTCCTTCGCAGCTGTTAGCCTGCATGGTCATGCCACTATGCGACCTGTTGCCCGAGTGGCGCTCTGGCAGCGGCAGCAAAGCATGGAGAACAACGCTGGCACAATCGCTGTGCAAAGTCGAGGGCGAGCTGTAAACTGAAAAAACACACAGCGAGCAGAATGCTCTGCAGCCTGCGGTGCTTGAGGGAAGCGGGCCAGACCGGCCCTCGCACCTCTCCGCGGCACTTCCTGTCACCAGAATTCCCGCGAACGCGCCACGCAGCACGGAACAACTCCCGAACGACGCGGCGCTGGCAGGAACCATCAAGGAAGAGGTGATCACGCATCTCTCCATCGACGGGAACCTTAGGACCCTCGGGGCTCGGGAGCTCATCGACGTGCCAAGCATAGAGCAAGGCTTCAGGAACCTGGCACGGCAGGACGCGGCAGGACGTGGGCGGCATGAGCGGAAAGCTCCACGAGAATGGAGCGCCACCACGTGGCTGTCGGCCTCAGCTGCCCAGACCACGCCGGCATCCGAGACAACCGAGGCGGGAGACGACTGAGACCGAAGCTGCCCCACAGCGCCGAAGGTGCACTGCCGCGGCCCGTGGAAGATACTGTCTGGCGCCTGCCAACAAAGCGGCCATGATTCGTCAGTCCAAGTAGCATCACGCGAGCAAGCACGGATCCAGCCTCGCTGGACAAGAGTAAACTTCTCGCTGTCCATGGCTGCCTTGGGAACGGTGAGGCAAACTCTGCAATCCATGTTCCACTTCCCCCCAAGATCCTTCTCGAGGCCCCCGCGGTAGGCTTCCTCACAGGGGGTCTCAAAAAGGCCGGGGGGGAATCAACCCAAGTCTGAGAGTGCAGCCACGATCGTCGGTAATCACGATATAATCATCCATGACCCATCCAAACCGAACGAGGGTCAAACGCAGCGCAGAGAGGGGGCCGCTAACAGTAGCCCAAATCACATGAGGAAGAGCGAAGACCGATAACCAACTTCGTCTCAATTCAGGATGCGATATGGCGAACGGATGAACACAAGTCTGAGCTAACCAAATCCTTCTGCTCCAACTCAGTAAGGGAGCGCAGGCAGCTCTCCTGCGTGGGTCGTAAGCAATAGAAGTAACCCCTAACCCTTTGGGAGGGGACCCTACGTTGGGAGGGCCTAAAACATCAGGGGGAGGGCCGTCTTTTCTGCAGGCAAATCAGACGAGGCCCCCCACATGTTTGGGGGCATGCCTCTGAAAAACCGTGGACCTAAGCCATGCCACGAACTGAGTGTGCTAATTAGTGGGGTCGGCGGGGCACACGACGACGTGGCGACCCACCGGGCGCACCTGGCGGCCGCTCGCGGCGTCGCGGCGCTGCCGTCGTCGTCGTCGTCGTCGTCGTCGTCGTCGTCGTCGTCGTCGTCGTCGTCGTCGTCCACCTCCTCCTCATCCTCCTCCACCTCCTCTTCCTCCTCCCTCTTCCTCCTGCCCCTCCTCCTCCCCCTCCTCCTCCTCCTCCTCCTCCTCATCCTCCTCGTCCTCCTCCTCCTTGGCTGCTGGCGCTCCCCTGTTGGGGAGGTGTTCGGCCGCTCCTGCAGGTCCCGCATTGCAGGAGTCAGTCATGTGCGGTGCGAGCGTCGAGCTCAAAACAAACCCTCCTCCTCCTCCTCCTCCTCCTCCTCCTCCTCCTCCTCCTCCTCCTCCTCCTCCTTCCTCATCCTTCCTCCTCCTCCTCCTCCGCATGCGGAGCTCATCTCGCTCGTGCCGACTCCTCGGCGACGGCCCGGCGACGGGCACCGGGCGGCCGCCCGCGGGGAGGCGCCTGCCCTGGCGCTTGAGGTGCTCGGCGAAGGCCTTGATGAAGGCCGGCGCGTCGACGTCCTCCCCCCGCGCGGCGCGGCCTCCAACCTGCACTCCTCCACCACCTCCTCCTCCTCCTCCACCTCCTACGCGGCGCGGCCTCCAACCTGCACTCCTCCACCTCCTCCTCCTCCTCCTCCTCTTCTTCGTCGTCTTCTCATTATTATCATGATGATTCTTATTATAGTAGTATGAGTACTGTTATTATTATTGTTATTATTATTATTAATATTATTATTATTATTATCATTATTATTATTATTAGCATTATTATTATTGTTATTAGTATTAGTATTAGTATTATTATTATTGTTAGTATTAGTAATAGTATTATTATTATTAGTATTATTAATATTATTATTATTATTACTATTATTATTATTATTATTACGAGCAGTATTATCATTAGTCTTATTAGTATTATTATCAGTCTTATTCGTAGTAGTAGTATTATTATTAGTAATAGTATTAGTATTAGTATTAGTATTAGTATTAGTATTAGTATTAGTATTAGTATTAGTATTAGTATTAGTATTAGTAGTATTAGTAGTATTAGTATTAGTATTATTAGTAGTATTAGTATTAGTGTTATTATTATTATCATGATTAGTATCATAATTAATAGTATTAATCATATTATTATTATTGGTATTATCATTCGTAATATTAGTATTCGTATGAGTAGTAGTAGTAGTAGTAGTAGTAGTAGTAGTAGTAGTAGTCGTAGTAGTAGTAGTAGTAGTAGTAGTACTAGTACTAGTAGTAGTAGTAGTAGTAGTAGTAGTAGTAGTAGTAGTAGTAGTAGTAGTAGTAGTAGTAGTAGTAGTAGTAGTAGTATGACTATTAATATTACTATTAGTATTCTGCGTTATTTGTCATAGCATTATTCTTCTTACTCGTAGTCATGTACTTTTTCTTATTAATGTTAGCGTTATTACTAATATTAGTATTAGTGATATTATTATTAGTTGTACTCATATTCTTCTTAATAGTATTATTACTATGATTATTCTACTTATTCGTATGAATATTATGATTAGTCTTCTTCCTCCTCCTCCTCCTCCTCCTCCTCCTCCTCCTCCTCCCCGCGCGCAGGCGGACATCCGCCGCGCCGCCGCGACGTCTTCCCTGGGCGCGGCCTGTGCGGCCGACGATGCATCGCCGATTCTGGTTGCAAGAAACTCACGAGTCGTGAAGACCAGTTCGAGTCGACACCCCTTCGAGTCAGGAAGGAATTCGCGGCGACATGTTTTCCTCGAGTTTCGTCGGCCTCTGGGGACCCCTACTGGGCCTGGGGGCCGGGCCCGGTCCTCCCCCGGCGCGGCCGATGCTTCGATGATTATGGTTGCAAGATGATCCACCACGATACAAAAAAAACACAAGTGGCCATGGTGAACATTCCTTATCAAGTCTTGGACAGAGGAACTGTGAAGGAATGTCCAGCATTGCCACTTGTGTTCTCGAGGAGGACTGTCCAAGGCGGCAACTTGCCAAGGAGTGTCCCTGGCGCGGCCGGTGCGTCGTCGATGCATCGGCGCTGCGACGCGATCTTCCGACCCCATCTGCATGGACACCTTTGCCCAGACCTCCTCGATTCAGAAATTCACGACGCCAGGTTTTCCTTGAGATTCGGCATCTGGGGGCCCTTGCCGGGCCTCGGGGCCGCCAAAAAACGATTCAGCATGAGAAACCGGTCCCAAGGGAATGGGTCGAGGCCTCGAAGGGTCGACGCTATGAAAAATCATGGCGTCGGAGGTCTGGCTTGGATGGGTGCTGCCGAGCGACGCCCTGCGCGCCGCAGCCCCACCGGCCCTCCGCACCAGCCCTCCGCACCGGCGCGGCGGGGGTGTCGTCGATGCATCGGCGCTGCGGCGCGATCCTCCGACCCCATCTGATTGGGGGTTGCCAGAAGTGCCCCCTGGCACAAGCTGCCCCCAGCTTTTCGCTCCGTTTTGGAGCAGCCCGGGGGCCCTCTAGGCCTCATGACGGGTGCTCTGGAGGCCGTGGAGGGTATCCCTGGAACTCCTGGGGGCACCTTGGGCCAGGGGAAACACTCCTAGCAACACCCCACCTGAGCGAGGAGCGAAAACGGGGCACTCGCGTGTAAAAGCTGTTCGCGCGAGGTCGCGCGCGCGAGCGCCCCCTCAGTCTCAAACCGTGGCGTGCCGCGCCAGCGGCCCGCGCATGCTACCGCGTCAGAGCGCTGTATCATTTCGCGCAAAATGGGGACCGAGCGGGAGGGGTCGAAGGATCGCGCCGCATCGCCGATGCACCGCCGGCGGCGATGCGGCGCGACCCTCTGACCCCATCTGCTCCGGACCCCGTCCTGACATCCTCTAGCTGGAGGCTTGGAAAGGGGCACCAACACTAAGACACTGGGGAACATTCCCTGGGGGAGGATGATCCTAAATTTCGGTGTTGGTGGTCATCTTTCGGCCACCTGGGAATCCGGAGTATTGGCACCATCGCCAGGATCAGGATCACCTGCCTGCGGTGAAGGCACAAAGCCGATAGTGGTGCTGGTGCCAACCTCTGAACTTCCGATGCAGTGTGGGCGCGGCCGCAAGAAGCCCTCGCAAGAAACCCGACCCTGAAAACCAGCGCGCGAGGTGCGCCTGAGGAGGAATCCGCAGCACCCTGAGAGCAGCAGTTTCTTCAAGGGCTGCGAAAAGTCACCGCGCAACTCGCGGAGCGAAGAAACCCATGATGCCCTGACGAAGAAGCAGATAGTTTCTTGCTGCGCGCCCGCACTGTCGAGTAAGATCGTTTTCCAGTCGACGATCACATGCATGGGTTCCATTTTGGAGGGGTGCAGCCGAGCGACGCTCTGCCCGCCGCAGCCGCCCCTGCCCTCCGCGGGCGCCCGGGCGGAGTCTACCCCCCTGCCGCCGCGCTTCCACTTTTGCACGGCACGGCTCCGGCGCGCCCGCCCAGCCAGGACACCGCGCCCCCGTGCCCTCCCGCAGCCAGCCCAGCTCCTCCCCGCCCCCCAGCCAGCGCGCCCCCTGCGCCCCGACCAGCTTATTACGGCACGGCGCGGCAGTGGCACCGCGCCTCATTTCTCTCGCCCCGCAACCAGCCCAGCACCTCCCCTTCGCCCTCAGCAGCCAGCCCAGTTCCGCCTGTTCCTTCTCGCCACCCCCAGCCAGCGCGCCCCCTCCGCCCCGACCGCCGTATTCCAGCACGGCGCGGTACCAGCAGCGGACCCCCCCCCCACACACACCCCCACCTCACCCCCCCACGGCCAGCCCAGCTCCTCCTCCCCCTCCTCGCCCCCCGCAGCCAGCCCAGTTCCTCCT